GAATCAGCTGTTGCTGAATCAGCTGTTGCTGAATCAGCTGTTGCTGAATCAGCTGTTGCCGAACCATGATCTATTATCTGTGAACGTGTGAATAGATCAATCAACAATTTTTTCAAAATACTTACATTTGAAGAAAATGTGCCTTTAAATTGTGCGGTCTCGAGCAAAATTTGTCGCAATTCGGGCATTTGAATTTTTTCTTCATTGGCTGGTGAACATTTTCAACGTGTTCCCGCAAAGTTTGTAAACGAATGAACGATTTTTCGCACATTCTACACTTCTAAATTTCAGGGAAAAAATGAAAGTAAAGCACAAAGAACAACCAATAATGAATCAAAAATATAAAAATGTAAAAATTAAGAAAAAAAGTCACAGTAAAATGATGATTAATAAAAAAAAGCAAAATTACTTTTCGCATGTTTAATGTTTATAGTTGAAACACAAACACCTAATTGCCGGTTTTACAAAAGTCAAAAAATAGTTGTCAAATATATACAATCTGTCTGAAGTTGGCTCTCACAATACACAACTTTATTGAGTGAATGCTTTTGATATTTCGACTTGTTAAAACGATGCATTCACGTTTTTTATTGCCGATTAATATTTTTTTATGAATAAAACATTTTTTTAAAAGATTGGCAATCATATTCATTAAATTAACCACTAGAAACATATTTGTGGATTCATTTCGTTTTGATATTAGAATAGTAATCGATACGAAAGTAGATGGCGGTAGGATGTAAAAATCTTTTTGCAAAAGTGACATTTCAGTACAAAATACGTTTTGATATTCCTACCCGGAATAATCATGAGCTCCAAACTTTCTTTAAAAAAATACTGATACAAGACGATGAATTAAAATAAATGAGATACTAACTCGCGTTTAAAATAAATCTGATACTTGAAAGATATTGAAAATAAAAGTGGTATGTATCACATTTATTTTCAATTTGTTCAAGTATCAAATTTATTTTCAATTCTGGCTAGTATCTCATTTATTTTAACTCATTTGTGCATTATACCGAGTCTCCGAGAGTTTCATATAAGCCTTCCCATGTAGATGGTAAAAAATCGTGAAAAATGAAAAAAATAATTAAATTTTTTTTCTTCGATTTACAAATACTATTCAATTTTCTGTACCATCTGGTGAAATCAGAATGAAAAAAATCGCATTCCTTATCACCCAAATCA